TTAATGGTATTTATATTTAAATTCCTATGGAAATATTTCAAAAAAGCCCATTTTTAGAATGTTTTTCACCCCAAAAATATTTCATAGGGAATAAACAAATTTCAAAAGTCAATCAATTGTGTCCAAATCAATCATTATGTAACAATTTTCAAACATAACAAATGTGAAAATTGTTTCAACCTTATGTTACTAGGTTGAATGCCTGCAACAAAACAAAATACTAACTGTATATCAGGCTTCTTTGCTGCCATGTAGTAGATATAGGATCCAGCCATGCAACAAACAGTCGCAGTCATTGCAAATAGTGGAATCAGCTAATAAGTAGATACAGAACAGTAAAACTGCATTATTTAATATATATGTATGTTATTTGAAGCATTTGTATATTCACTATATTAGAGGTACAATAAATCGTGAATTTCTATTAAAATAAAATCTGCGTAAAAATTCTATTAATTGTTCACATTTTTGTGGAAATAATTTTGTTAACATAAAACTGTATCCTGCCCTGCAATGCAAGTTAATTGCTGTCAAACCTTGTTGAATTTAAGTATTTTATTTTCATTAGTGGCTCAGACCTTTCTCTTCATTGGTTGAAGCCAAAGATATGTAAATTTGCCAACAAAATCTGGGACATGTGAGTAAAACTATGGGTTGGCAGGCAGCTCCATATTGGCGAGTGCAACTTCTCATGCAGCACAAAACTGACGATTGACAGTGAAAGAATCAACGTTTATACGTATGTACCACCATAGTAGGTAGCCAGTAGTGATTTCATAATGTCTACATTTTTTACTAGTTTTTCAAAAAGTAATAGTACTTACTTCAGGATTAGTCACCAACACACGCATTGTGAACTTACTCATTTTTACTGAAAATAAAAGAAGATATAAATTGTTTGGAATACTGTAGAATTTCGCTTGGAATTAATTTTCACTATTATTGCTGAAGGAATGATTCAGTGAAAATAAAATCCACGGAATATACCGTTGTTCATATATTTTACATTCAACTTGTCAAAAATCAGTGAAAATAAATTTCATACAAAACACCCAAAAAACTAAAATAAAATATATTACAGTATCAGTGAAAGATATAATAATACATAAATTGTGCTGGTATGCGCTCATGCGTCTTAATTGACAGGAGACGCCCCCACATCTCGGACCCACATACTATACACGCGCATTTGGTTTCATTTTGATGAACAATTTACAGTGACCCTTTAGGATAAAATATCATAATTTTGGGATGATGAAAGTAGAGCAGTTGGGTAAATTACTCCACCAAAAGCGTAAAATCAACTATCATGACGCGCGCGCGCGCACCACGCAAGCGAACGCATAAACTGACCACAGTGCAAGTTGTGGATAAGTACAAAATATATTCCTTGGATATTAGTTTTCTGCTAAAGTGCAGATTAATATACCCACACTGTCCTTCCTAGAATAGACAAGTGTCTAATCAGAACAAATGTAATACACGAAAGTGATACTAAAACTGTAAATTTACATAACCAGCGATTCCCACTTGTGTGTTCGACGCAATGTCGACGGGTCACCGTTATTGCAGCTTATAAGTTGTAAATCAAAAAACCAACTCGTAAGAAAAGTTCACTGTATACTGAAGTAAGTGTATATGTCGCTTTGATCGAAAATAAGATATTTGCACGTACGTTTAGATGACTGTGTCTTCTTTGGATCATGAACTTCAGTCTGCCGCGGTTGAATCTTCTGCATCAACGTATCTACTTAGCCTCGCTCTAAAACAAGCCTTGTGTAAAGTAATCGCCGCCCATGGAAACGTAATGAACTGATAATTTTTAGACTTGTCTCAATATGTTACCATTAAATATGTATCTCTTTACAAATATGTTACAAAATAGTATTACTTTCTTTCTAAATATGCCTCTGATTTTACTCGTGTTGAGCGAGGGTGGTGAGATGTTGAAAGGTTTCAGACCTGTGAAATTTGTATATTTAGTTGGTTAATATTCCGATAACAATTGTTCATGTGCAATCTCTAATAGTTTTTTTTTTTTTAAATAAATTATCAAGGATTTGATAATCCCCAGGCGAATATTAACCAATTTCAGATTTACTTACTGCTTTATTTTGAAACGAGTGATAGCGCTACCTTTATTTGAATACCCATCACATTATGTTGAGATGGCATTTCATCTAGCGTACAAGAGTGTGTATGTATCTGTCTTTTCAATAAAAAAACAGATCCTGTATTCTTTTTTTATCGTGCGCCCTCTAACGTCTATTAGTTGCAAGTGTTTTTTTTTTCATTTTGATTTTAATAATTTAATATTTTATAAGTGAATTATCCAAAACAGCGTTTCTGGTATGCTTGTAACAAACGAGTTGTTTGAGAAACAATTATAGAACCTGACACCCCTATGATTGAAATGGTTTAGTCGCTGATTTGTGCGATTTGTTTCAGTGTAATAATAAAGCACTTATTGGATATTGGTCACGTGGTGTCTGATATAATTAATGAGATGCTTAATATTAAAATTGTTCTCATTGTCCGATAAATATAACATATTGCAGTAGGCGTGCAAGTAAGTTCTAGCATGGAGGTATAAACAGATCTGTGTATACCACCATGGTTCTAGTTGTACTTCCTATTGTTTAATATCGCCTCTCAACGGTTGGTAGCATCAGATCTATACCACGTCATCACAGAGCATTAATTTTAATAGAAAATATAAGGCTAAGTGAATAGTTACGTCACTATAAAATGCCTATTTCTCGTGCTTTACTTCTTTATCCACGGATTTAGGCGCGCCAGTACCCCCCCCCCCTTCATACCGTTCGGCTGGCAAAACAAAAATTACAAATCAATTGACAAACCAATGCCACGTCATGAGGAGATTCAGTAGCAGTAGCGCGCCCCGTTAACACATTTCTGGGTCCGTCCGTGAGAAATAATCTGAAACTGATTGTAAAGGTGAATATAATAAAAAAAAAACCCGGATGGGAATGTAATGTGAATTACTTCTCGACACAGTATTTGGATCTGGACATTCAGTGTGGAATGACACAGGATTCTGTTTAAAATGTCTCTCCACCGTGACGTGCGTTCTGATAGACAACCCACCACCACCACCAACAACAACAATAAATATACATTTTTAACCGAAATTTGCCTCCAAATGGAGCCAGAGGTAGCACGAGGATACAGACAGTAATAACAACTACATTACAGTGAAATATTGTGTCAACACTTTATTAAATAAAAACAACAACTGTGTGTATAGAGGTGTGTGTTTCTACTGACTTGTTAGGAGAATTCTGTATGGATCTGTGGCAATAGTATGTACTCAAGTTGTTTGTTTCATTTCGCACAACAGATAAGCCAGCTGTACCTCACCTGTCTAGATTTCCCGATATATAAGGGTGAGAAGGTGATCAGGTCAACATGCGGTATCACATCAAGTATAGAAATTGCAGAATAACGAATAAATATATTAATAAGTAGACAGCTTTGCAATGAAAGATATCATGGTACATTTCACTCCCAACGAGATTTCAGTTTCAGATTTCGGTTTCGGTAATTGGCGCTGCAAGATGAAATATTTTTGGGGCGGAATATATAGAAAGATGTCTCAATTTCAGTATTCATGATCGAATTTATGGCGGTCTACAAGTAGGAACTTGAGGTACTGACAGCAAAGAGTTTCATAAGGCCAGTCAACTTAAATTAATGGTTCGCATAAAAGGGGGACTAAAACTCTATTACATTTTGAAACTACGTATTATTGCCCCATTCCCAGCTTTGGTTGGCTCAGATAAGTTTTTTGTGTATTTTCACCTAATTAACCTGTAGTTCAGTTTGACGAGCAGTTGTTTTATCACAATTTAGAGGCAGTCGTTTTATGAGTATGCAAGCCAACAAACCAGAGAGCATCTTACTTAAACAAAATGGATTATTCTGAAACATTTACTTTATAACGGGCATTATGATTGGCTGTTGGTCACATTGGTAAGATATCAACAAATTGAGCGAACGGCGAGCTGCAAACAAATGACAGAAAATGAACACTTTACAGGTTGATATGTATAGATTGTTATATTGTAAATATAATTACGCTTTAACTATGAGATAGGTGTTTCAAATGTGTTCATAAAGCAATCGCGCATTGAATTGAATCAATATTCAAAAATAGAGAAAAATAAATCGGCTTACTCATTTCGTCAGTATTATTTTGGGTAACAAGTAGATAAATAGGCATCTACTCTCAATACACCTGTATACCTGTATATTTTCAATGAAAATATATCACTCTAAACTATACACTGCTTTTGGACAGACTGGTTTCGTCACCATCATTGCATAGTTGCGATCCTTGACCGTAGGTATTGATGTATAGTGATATATTACGTTAACAATCTATCTGCTTGTTGAAAACAACCACCATGTAGGTGAAATCAACAGCGTAAAATGTTCATTCTATATGATTGTGTAGATTACAGTATGAGATAGCCTTTTAGTAGAAAAAGAGACAGAACACTTCCCCAAAAACTGACGGTTCGTTTTATTTGCGTCTACAAATTTTGTTATTTGATTCAATTGAACTTTGGAATGAGAGCTGGCATTGATGCGCGGTATCATATGAATATTATCATTGTACAGTGTGGTGGCATCATATGTACCGTATTATTGTACAGTGTGGTGGTATCATATGAATATTATCATTGTACAGTGTGGTGGTATCATATGTACAGTATTATTGTACAGTGTGGTGGCATCATATGAACATTATCATTGTACAGTGTGGTGGTATCATATGAACATTATCATTGTACAGTGTGGTGGCATCATATGTACAGTATTAATGTACAGTGCAGTGGCATTATATGAACATTATCATTGTACAGTGTGGTGGCATGATATGTACAGTATTATTGTACAGTGTGGTGGCATTATATGTACAGTATTATTGACAGTGTGGTGGTATCATATGAATAGTATCATTGTACAGTGTGGTGGTATCATATGAACATTATCATTGTACAGTGTGGTGGCATTATATGTACAGTATTATTGTACAGTGCATTGGCATTATATGAACATTATCATTGTACAGTGTGGTGGCATTATATGTAACAGTATTATTTACTCGTGTGGTGGCATCATATGAACATTATCATTGTACACTGTGGTGTCATATGTACAGTATTATTGTACTGTGTGGTGGC